AGCGCCCGGCCGCCAGCCTGGGAGACGCATGGCGCCGCGCTTCGGATAGCTCGGTCTGATACCAAACGCTGTTGATGATCTGCGTGCAGCCGTGATTAATCCGGCGGGTTACCTGGGCAAGCTCAGTGAGCGTTTTTAAACTCCTTTTTTTTATTTTTATTTTTTTCCCCCTGTGCACAGCTTAGTTTGCTAAAGAATTTGATGAAGGGAGGTTGTAAACAAAACACTGAATCTCCTTAAATGCAGAGTCCTGATGATCCCTGCGCGGCAAATCATGGGGAATACTTGATTACATGATAATCTGCAGGTTCCTAGTTTATAAAATGACTCGGTGTGTTGCCATGCGGTGTTTCAGGTGCTGTGTGTATAAACAATGAACGGACATGTTTATTGTTTCGCCATAGCTGGATGTATAGCTGATTTCTGTTTAGCTTCCTTTCTAAATAGCGCTTGGAATGGCACTTAATGTGAGTATGCAACATTATTGTTTAGTGAAGAACCCTTTTTTGTTAGTAACATTACAGTTTGACACCTGTGTCTGGGGATCTCTGCAATAATATTCAATGGTAACATCTAGTTTAAAATGTGAATGTTATTACTTGAATCTCTCTTTCAAATGAGATTAGTATTCTTTTTTAAGTATGTTTGTTTTTTTAAAAAAAATGTTGATTTCGCTTGGAGCTCTTTGCTTTTCAGCCTGTTTAAACTTGTAGTTATTTGGATATGTGGAAATATACTTCATAGAGTATATTTACATAGGAACTTAATCTGGCTACTGGTTTTTTTACTAAAAATTATTTATATTGGTTATTCTGAATAATAGTAGAAAATAAAGTTTGAAGTTACAAGTGAAAATAGCTTGCTCTCAGGAACTGATAGGATCACATGCTCCACTTTCATTGCTATTAATAGTTAATAATTTGTCCAAAACTCTGTTTAGTCTCTGTGGCATTAGTATGGTAAGTCATAATGACTTAACCGAGTTCACCTGCTTTAGAAGATAGGGCTAGAGTAGATTCTGCTTGAAGTAGTAGCATCAACATCTCTAATATTTTAAACTTCTTGCTTGTAACTGGTTGTAATCTAAAAAGTAAGACCTGCTTTCTTGCCAGTTTTCTCATTCCTAACTTGTTATATAGCCATACTAGTTTACTATGTGTAGCTGGTTTGTTTTACTAATAGTACTTATCTGGGAAGGGGGAAAAAAAAAGTTAGTCTGATTTACTTCCCTTTTGCCCTCTGAGTTGCAGCATGGTTCAGTAATTACAAAAGGTTTTTCTGGGACTTGGGGAACTTGGTTTTAATTTTCTGCTCTATAGCAGACTCCCTGGTATGTATTTCTACTCTGCCAGTTTTCTGTTTGTGAAATGGCGGTTACCGCTTCCTTTGACGCAAGGTTGTTTGTAAGGAGGTGCCTAGATAGTATGTTGATGGAGGTCTATTGAATGTACCTAAAATAAGTTGTGAGTGGGGTTCGTACTTGTCCTTGCCATGTGTCATTTGTAGGGTATGTACAATGTATATTGTGTACTGCTGTCCCCTTGTGACGCTCCCATGCTTAAAGGCCACTATCAGAACATCTCATCACCTTACGCAGCATCGATGAAGCTTACTGCAGTGGTACCAAGGTTTCATTGAGGCTGTCCAGTTCTGAAAATGATGGTCAGATACATACTTCTGTTACAGGCTTATGGGGCAGCAGTATGGCCTCTGCTTCATATTCCACATCCTCTGGAGATAGGTAGGGCTCTGTGCAAAGGTAAATTTTGTTGCCCTGATTTAGGGAGTCCCTATGCTCCCTTGTATTTTGACCAGCTCAGAATTTGTCTTTTCCTGCCCTTCTACTCTGCACGTTTACTGTATCACTGATACAGTTGATTTGCAAGGGAAAAATGATGTTCTAAAAGACTGTCATTGTCTCCTTCTCATGACAAAGTAACTAATCCAGCTGTGTCCTCTGTAGGAACATGGAAGCTGGTTTGTAAGCTAAGGAGCAATGGTAGCTCTCTCAACTATCTAGTGTCTGCTTGTGTTCTAGCTGAAATATGTGCTGCTTCTCAATTGCTTTTAAGTTCTCATAAACATTCTTACTACTTTTTTCAAGCAATTACATACCTAGTTCTTTCACTTTATACATCCCTTCCTACTTTGATATAAGTGTTTTGCAGGTTTCCTGAAGAAGGAAGGACATTTGAAGTTTGAGCCCAGTAATACTTGCAACAAAGCTGCTAATAAAAGCTTGCATGAATCTGAGGCCAGTCTATGGTACCTAGATTGGAAATGCGGTGGGCTCCAAAAAGTGAAACTAGAACCTAGGTACTATGCCTGCCTCTCTGGTCCCCTGCCAAATTTTGTGGGTTTTCTGCTCCAGTTGTATATGAAAGATTCGTAAACAAGAGGAATTTATGGGCTGTAGGAGCAGTGGAGTGCTGTCAAACATGAGTGAACAAATTAGGCAGAGCTATTGCCTTCCACCCACCCCAGTCTGTTCTGTAGTTTAAAGTTCTGCTTGTAATAGTACATGGAATATTTCTAAGTGAGTGAGGGGTTCATTTGTTGCATCACTTTTGTTTTAAAGAAATGGACACCTAAAATTAGGCTGAACTAGTAGCAAGGTTTAAGAAATAATTTCCTAGAAAATTTTAGGTCTGTTCTTGAAAATCATGGTTACTATCTTTATGAAGATTAACTGACCTAAATAGAGCTTTAAAATAAAACTACTTTTTTTTTTTTTAAAGAATAAAAAAAGCTTTCCTTTTGCTTGAGTGATATTCTAAAATGTATCATATCCAGCTCCAAAATGTTAGGGTGGCTTCTGCTTCTGGGCTGTTTAGGTATTGAATCTCTAATCGCTACTGGAGATCCTGGTGTTCTGAAAACCAAGATTAGTAGACCTAGGCATAAATACATTCAAGGCTTACCAGTTAGCAATGCTATCAAGTACTTACTTTAAAACTAACTTCAGATGATGATTTCTAACTTTATCAAATAAAGAAAACAAATTCTAGCACTTAGTTTCTTTAGAAATCAAGAAGGGGAAAACTGATGGGGGAAAAGGAAAGAATAGGAAAGGAAATGAGCCAATGTAGTGTTTTTCAAAGTCTGCCTTTGCCCTGTCCACCTGTGTAGCAAAGATGCAAGGGAGGGGTGAGATAGCAGTAGAAAGCTCTCCCTCATAGCCTAGCTTTCCATGCGAGAAAATGTTGCTGGGTGTCAAAAGCATGACATGAGCTGTAGAACAGCCAGGTTCTGGACCTGCTGTTGAAATGGAAACTAGATCTGCAGATGAACTTGTGTGTGTTAAGTAGTTGTTTTTTAGTTCAAGTCCAACTCCAATGGAAACTGAACAGAGGTATCCCTAGCCCATGGTTTCAAAATCTTTCCATTGGGATGGAAGGTCAACCTTAATCATAATTTTAAACTTCAACAGGCATATGCCTATGACAAATCTAATTCTTGTTTTAAAAATAAGTTCTGATGTTACTAATATCCTTCATCATGAAATTCAGTGTATTCCCATCTTCATTATTTGGAGCATCTTTACTCACTCATTCTCATTTCCTATTTTCTGAAGTGAGCTCTTATTTGTTGTTAAAGTATGACTGTAGTTGTTGCTCATTCTAGCCATGTTTGCTGCTTGTTCTAGCAAAAGAATTAAACTGCTTTGCTAATATATCTGCATTACTGATTTTTCAGCTTCCTCAAAAAAAAAAAAAAACCCAACAAATGCTATATGAGTCTGTGAAACAGAAGGGCTCTGGAAGAGGTGAAGCAAACTTAAGAAAGATCACTTAATGCAAATGCCTTTGCCTTAGTCTTCAAAAACCAATGTGTAAGTAGCAGAAATGAGACTTTATTTCTCATTACCCCTACATATGCATGGGAGGTGCTTGCATTCAAAGAGGTAGGCCTGTAAGTTTAATTAAAAACAAGAACGAAATTCTGAGTTTTCAGTAGTAACTGAGATGTCTCTCTCCTTACTAACTTCAGGATTTGGAGACAAGTGGACTGACAAAGTATTTTAGTGTTATATGCAGAGATTTCTTTTTGAACTGGCATTACTCTGTGCTTTTTGTCACCTTTATTTTTATATTGGTGGCTATCCAACTGAAAACTCTTATTTTGGCACGGCAAAGCGCATCCCCAAAGTTAGATACTTGTAATTCTTATAACCAAAACATCAACATTTTAACCAGTGTTGTTTTTTATTTTAGTTTGGGCCTGTCAACATGGTTGTGTGGAGTATCTCTTAAACATGGTAATATGCTGGGTACTGTTACTGAAACAGGAGCTGCAGATAATCTGAAAATAGCCAGAATTCAGCTTTGCTAACCATGCAAATCCGGAATAGCCAAAATTCCTATTTGCTAACTGTGAAGAGCCTGCTAATCAAAGAATCTTTTCTAGAAAAGCAAAATTTATTTCTTATGGCTAATCCAATGCAGGGATTTTTGCACACATTTTGTACATAGAAAGCTAGCATAATACTACAGATAGTCACCCGTGCAGTTCCTTCCACAAGTTTCTTGATATGGCAGCATCAATTTTTACTTTCTTCCTAAAGCTATAATACCTTTTACAGAGCCTGAAGAAAGTTTTACAGTTGTGTTTTGAAATGACTGACACTCTGGAAAATGTACCTAATTCAAGCCATGTGAGTCATTTTGAAGTTGGCTTTTCTGTTTCAGTGTGTATTCAGTGTTTCTGTGACAGAACTAATTTAACCAATACCAAATACTGCACTTCAATGAAACGCAGGAAGCCTCCTTGCTGCTTAGTGGATGGTGTCCAAAGGTTATAAAAGAAAATGATTTGCCTATGTGTAAACTTTCAAGTTTCAACTGTGTTAGGCATTGTAAGTGCACAAAGCAGTCTGTGCTGGTTGCAGAGTTGATGAGTCTTTGAAGCAAAACTCACTACCTGTAGAGACCTCTGAAAGCATGGCTAGGTATTTTTAAAGTATTCATGCCTAACTTTTTAGGAGGACAGCATAACTTAGTTTATACGGAAGTGTAGTTTACTTGTGTGAGATGTCAAGCTCTTATCACTAGTGTTCCAGAGAACTCAGGAACTGCTGAAAATAGAGTAGCGTTAAAAAAATTGCACTCAAAAATGAAAAGTTGAGCTTCGTGCCACATTAACGGTTACCTAACAGAAGCATTAATATTGTTAAAGTACTGGGAGCTCCATGTTTCTTACAACAGTAGCTTTTACTGTTTCAGTACTTCATAACACAGGCTGAACAATGCAAGGGCTCTTACCTTGGCTTTAAATATTTTTAAATCATTGCATTACTTTATTTTTCACCTTTTACAGTATGATTTGAAACAGTCAGCATGGACTTTTCACGCCTACACACGTACACTCCTCCCCAATGTGTGCCAGAGAACACTGGCTATACATATGCACTCAGGTGAGAACTCTTTTTCCTCTTGTAGAGAAACTATATGTTCTCTGAATGTTGTTAATTCTGGAGAGTTTAGCTTTTATGGTAAGTAGTTGACTTCTTCAAAGAAGTATACTTTACCTAGTCTTTTTTGAAAATAACTACTGTGTCCTAAATGGAGAAAAGAATACATTTTGAACTAACAGGACAATGACTAAGATTATGACTCAGTGTTTATTAGTTGCTATGAATAAACTAGTCTCCACCTAGTTACAGTTGGTGTTTTATTTCTATAAATGTGTCATCAGAATTCTTAAATATTTTTCTCTTGTGTCTTGTAAATTCTGTGTGTTTTTACTCTGGTAGCTTGGCACCCTGTTTCACTTTAAAACGTTGAATTAATATGCACTCATTACTGCTAGTGTGGAATTTGGCTGGAAGTAACTTGTCTTTTTTAAGCAGAAATGCTTATTGTGTGAATATAAAATCTGCCTAATGAACTCTTTTTCTTGCCTCTTGTTGTTTAAACTGAGGACTATTAATCTCTTTTTCATAAAGATATTACTTTAGTTTTCTAAAAGTAATTTTGCAGGGCATTTGTTAGCTTTTGTGTTGCGCTATTCAAAATAAATGTGTTGATGCCGATTTGAATTTTTGAACATTAATATGACAGGTTGACTGCGGATTAAATCTAGTATCTTGATAGCAGGGAAAAAACACATTTTGATGCAACTACACATAGGTGGACCTGAATGATTGGTTTGGCCAATTTTAGTTTTTAAAAAAAAGTGGTCATTGGAATACAGTATGAGATTATTTCTTCTATTCTGTGCCTATAAATCATTATTGTAAATCTAATGTGTATTTAAATACTAGATTTAAGTTGGAGAATGTTTGGCTGTCAATAAAACAATTTGGCAAAACTGTAGTATTAGATATCACTGGTTAATATTAACTCTTCTATACTCTAAGACTATGCATCTTCATTGGTTTTGATGTATACCGTTTTTTAAATTTAGACTGATGCTAGTGGCATTGCAAAATGGAAGTCTTAACATGTTCCTTGTACTAATTAAAAATGAAGTTGTAGCTCCTCCTGAAGTTTTAGAAAAACAATGGTAAGATGCTGATTAAGTGAAAGTGTATTTACTAATTTTAAGGAAGAACCTGCTGGGCAGTGGAAGATGATTTATGTGCTTTTGGTCATCCAGTAGGTCTACTATTTTATCACTTGGTATTAAACTGAAAAGAGTGTTTTTACTTTGTAGGTGCTAGATTTACATTGCAAATGTAAGATACATTGGTTGAAATATTTAAACTATCTTTTACAGGAGATGACTTCCCATTCTGGGCGATAAAAGTAGACTTCAGTTCTTTGTTTACAGTGACTTTTGTTTCTGTGTACATATCTTTTCTAAAACGAGTAGTGAAATTATCTGATCTTTTTTCCTGAATGTTTTTATATTTGTCTAAAACAGTACTAATATGTTCAGGTGTACAGTCTTATACACAGCAACTATTTTTCTTACAGACAGGAGGAAAGAAGGAGATATTACTAATAATTTAAGAATTTTTTTTTACTTTGTGCATTCCCAAGAGTATTAGCAAAGTAAAGTTCCGTGGCTTGTTTAAACTAATTTGGGGCTAGAACCCCTCTAAGTTGGCTTTCTTCCTTTGTCCACTCTTTTTATTGTGGCATACGAACTTATTTCTCACTGAAGCAGATAAGAATACCATGTGAGCAAAGATCAACTTTCTGGAAAAGGAAGATGCAGAGTGATAAATCCCATTTATATTCTGGAGTATAGTGCGTTTTGACTTGATACTTTTGGTGTAGAAAATAACTGAAGTGTTTTACTTCCTACATAAATGAAGTTGTCATATTGCAAAGCTGAGGACTTGTGAAGAAGGCTTTGTAGGAAGGGAGGGTTCAGTTTCTTGAAGCTTTTCAGCCTCCTGTTTTGCAGTGTTAAGCTGTATATTAGATATCACAGGTATTCAAAAACGGATAGAGCTAAATAAGCTGAAGTTCAATGACTGACCTAATAAAGGCAGATATATTTAAACTAGGTTGAAATTAATTCTCTCATTGTAACTTTCTTATGTAGAAAAAGGATTAGCAAGTGTTTTCTAATTAAAACTTCCTCTGAAAATACCATGAAGCCCAAAATATTAAAAAGGGGAAAACTATGCAGTACGCTGTCTGCTTTCAGCATGTCAAGAGAGTAGATTCTTTGTCTTAAGACTTCCACACCTGTGTCTGCATGCTGAACCTTTGCAGAGTGCCAGCTTATTCATGTAGTTCTTCCAGCCTTGAGTGAAGCAGTGTTTGGAGAACCTGAAGAAAGGGTAAAGGGGCCAAAGTTGCTAATCAAAATGTTTTCGTGCCAAAGCTGATTCCTTTTTTTCCCTGTCCCCTTCTTTTTCATTAACTTCGCTTATCCTGGGATCTAGGTTGTCCTCACTTTGCCGATTCAAGAGCTTCCCAAATTTTATCTATGAGTTTCTCTAAAGTTTACTTGTGCATGTGGCACTGCAGAAAGAAGTACAGAGGAGTTGAATACTACCAAGCTATTAATAGATTTGGATATGGCCTATTAATAGAACTTGTATTAATACTCACTGGGATTACTGTATGTTCATAACCGTTTGTAAACGGTTCTAATTTGTGCTGCTTCTCCTTGAGCTCAAATCAGGAAAGCATTAAACTGATACAGCTAAATAAGCTATAGTTCTCTAGGTGCGTTGCATTTCTCTCTCTTGCTATCTTAAATAGTCCAGAACATTCTTGCCCACTTTGTTCCAAAGCTTACAAAATAAATGACACTTAATGTCCTCTCGACCAAGCTGTATATGTGCTAAAATTAGCAGACCTCATTCTCATTCCGTTTACGTAGCTGTAACTGGAGAATTAACCCACCAAAGTCCAGAACGTTTTTGCTCTGTAGAAGCTCACATGAGGGAGGTAAAAGGTAAGAGGAAGCAACTGGAAATAAATGTAAGACTACATGCAGTCAGCAGAAGTGCCAGCGGCCATGAAAGGTGGGAGGAAGGAACCAGAGTATACTGTTTGCATAGATTACCCAGGAGTGTAGTCTGAAGTAGGATGACTGCATCCCGTGTTATGTATGGCCAGCCAAAAACCATGTTAATTAGGTAGGTCTAACAAAAATGTACAAGTTCATTTCCGCCCTATAAAAGGGCGGAGATTTACTCCAGTGATTTTTACCACAGGGAAATAAAATACACTTTTCCAAAGTGTGGGAAATATGATAGAAAGTTAGGAGAAATTCTTGATACTGTCCTGACTTCAGAGATTTTGTATTTCCTTATGAAGAGAATTACTGTCCTGCATAAGCAAGAGAAAGAAGGTCTCCCTCTCTTTAAAAGAGGAAAAGATAACTTGGTATTTTAGACTGTAGGGCCCAGATATAAATGCTCATCAAGATACTTAGTAACAGCAAGCATTCAGAAAGAGAAACAAATTGAGGCAGGTTACAGCTGTCAGTTTGTCCCCTGCACTTTGTGTTCTTGTGAATTGGGTATCTAGAAGAATCACTGAGTGAAGATGAGAAAAAGCAAATGTGCAGTGGCAAGTGTAAGTTGCAAAACTGAGTTCCTAAACAACTGTTTAGGGAGGGACTCGATTTAATAATAAACTATTGAGGTTCTGATTCTTTCAGAATGAAGGAATGAACAACAGGAAGAGCCATATTTAACTTCTATTCTCACTTCACATCTGTCAGAACGCAAACCGCCTGAACTTTTTGAAACCACTGTAAAACTATTCTTTGTGTCTCATGAAATGTAGACTGAATCCGTTCCTCACATGAGGATGCTTCTCCTTGACTCCTGCCCCTGCCCCAAGAAAACTAGGGGAGGGATTAAAGTATACTGGTCTTGTTTTAAGCTATAGTCAGACTTCCACCGTGTATGAGGTTACACTGCCAATGGCAGTGTTAGCAGGCAGCGAGGGCCAATAAGGTGAAACAGGTAGTGCTGAATACCTGACACCAAATCTATATGCCTTCAGGCAGATTGCACAGGGGAGTTGCTTTGGACGAGCTCTAGTGTGCGGTCCAGTGGGCTGAATGTCCATGTGCTGCTGGAGCACACTAGGTGTGCTCTTAGTGTGGTGCTGGGTTAATTTTCTAGGTGGGAGAAATTCGGTTCACCTGCTCTGACACTGTTCCATTGTTGCATGCTTTGGTTTGCCTTGTGGAGCAATTGGGAAACTCGCTTCAAAAGCACCCACCTTGTCAGAACTTAATCACCAGTGTAAACGTAGCTGCTAGGACTTCTACTGTTAACTTGCTTATATGCCAAAATAAGGCAATATATATAAAAGCCTGTACTGACTTTTTGAAGCTTAGAGCAGTAAGTGTAGGCATTGTTTAGCAGTTTCATCTTTTTATAGTTTTTTGTTTTTTAACTCATTATGTGAGAAAATCCTATAAATCAAAACTATCCTTTCTTCACTAATATCCTTTCTAGAAATTGTAGGGTTTTGTTTGTTTTGGGTTGTTTTTTGAGCATGAGGAAAGGGTCAAAGCTTCCATTTCAAATACAGATAGCACAGTAGAATCTACTCATTCAGCTTGTTACTTGTTTGCTTGGGATTTTGGGAAGAAGGAGCTGCTTTAGGTAACACTTCTCCTACCTTGCTCAGGTTTTGTTTTGCCCTTCCAGCAAAGAAAGGGCAGGGCAGGGGGAGAAAGGCAGGGAAGCTGAAGTAACTGCTGTTACAGCTCTGCATATTGTAGTGGTCCAGCTGGAAACAGGGGCTCCATTGGAAAGCTAGCCTAGAACACTCTGGAATGGTTCGTGGTCAAGGAAACCAAATGCTTAGATACGTTCAGCCACAGTGCTGAGCATCTGGAGAACCTAGCTTCCTGCTACCTGATAACCTATAATGACAGATTGCACTTAATTATATGATTGAATGTTTCCTTTACTTGTAAGTATAAGGACTGTAGGCTAAATAACTTCTGTGTTTTTTTTTTAGTCTTACTGATTCTTTTGTTTTAGTCTTGGTTTTCATTGCAAGTTTTCATGAAGACTGAGAGAATCAAGTGTAAAACATGCCTAAGTGCTTGGGGAGTAGAGGTCTTGGGATAAGGACATGGAGCTTGTCTGCATGTAAACTTGCATCTGTGGGAGAAAATAGAAAAGCAGATGAAAACATCCTTTATTTGGTCATAGTTAACTATTTCTAATGCCTTGACCTAAATTAAGACATGTTTTTAAACTTTTAATTATCCCCTCCCCCTTTTTTGCTAGTTAAGCTAGTGTGTCCAGCTGGAGTGGAGTTTTTATAAGTATCTCAAAGGGGAACCCCCTGCTTCTTGGAGCCAGAAATTCAAACTAATCTGGCATATGAATCTTTTGTTCTCAAAATGTGGAGTTAGCAAACAAAGAACTGAACTCTTATTAAATAAAAACATGAAACTTTCCCTTACATCTTATAAGGCATCATGAGTTTTAATTTGCTCCTAGGCGTGGTGAAGAAAATTTGTGCCATGGATGGCTTCATCCCTTAAATTGGTCCCAAAAGTACTGTGTGTATGTGAGAGGGAGTGTGTAATGCTTGTTCCAGCTCAACTTCAAGCATGGTTTCCATGGTAGCTGTTTCTTCCTAGCGGTGACTTGCTTTCAGTTGTTAAAATTGTAATATGAATTGCATAGGAAAGCCTTTAATATCTACATACTCCTAAGTTATTTGGGTTATGTGGCATGTCTTGTCAGATTTGCTCCATAACCCTGGATAAACTGCTTTTAATGGAAATTCAGACTAGGTTGAAGGACTTGTTTCTAGCAGAATTTTCTCTTAGAAACTGGTAACTTTGCTGCTTTTACTTTCTTTTTTAGTTCAAGTTATTCTTCGGCTGCTTTGGATTTTGAGACAGAGCACAAATTGGATCCGGTATTTGATTCACCAAGAATGTCACGGCGTAGTTTGCGGTTAGCTGCTGCAGGATTTCATAAATCGGATGATGCCCGAAGTGATATCCTTCATGATGGCTCTTACGCTGGAAATGTGTCTTTCAGAGAACAGTCTAAGTAAGCAGTTATTTTTTATCAAGATGAGTTAATTTATTGGTTGAGGTCTTGAGTATATGCTTATCTGAAAGATGACTGAGGTTTCATGTTTGAACATGGTAATACAAGAAGAGATTAACTGTTTTATTCTGTTCTTAATGTTTACTGTCATACTTTGGAAATTACTGTATTGAGGATGCGTCGTTTACAGTGAAGTCTTTGCAAAAGTATAGACGTCAAGAGTGAGAATTTTCTTTTAGGCCTGACTGGAACTGTCAGGTCCTATCAATGTGTCATTAATAAAAACAGTCAAGGTATTTCAGCAAACAGAAATTCGTATCTTTAGTGCTATGTCTCTTCTGTATTTGCTTTCCGTTTCCTAGGATGGTGAAGCAACGCAAAAGTATGAATAAACAATCTGGCACTGTGAGACATACACCAAGGAAAAATCTATCCAGCTCTTCTATTTTTAGCCAAAGTAGTTTCAATAGCCATGCCAGTGATACATCAATGACATCCACTGTATTGGATGAATCTTTGATTCGAGAGCAGACTGAAGTTGATCATTTCTGGGGTAGGTAATGAACTCTATTGCTCGTTTCAAATGGTGGAGAAACTGTGGTATGGCATGTGTAGGTACATGTCCATGTCTTCCTTCCTTTACCCACCCACTTCTTCATCTTTCCCCCCAAACACATGCTTACGCATCTGTTGTGGATGCTTGCTTGCTAAGATGTTGCTGGAAACTCTCTGCCTGCTACATAAACTTCTGCTCTTGATTTGGTGTTGCAGTCAGCACCAGGACATGTTGTTTTGCAGTCAGATTGATAGGCCAAACAGAAGTGTGTACAATTATGTAATGCAACACCAAACACAGCATGGATTTATTTCTTACTATTACATTTCATCTTACTGTTCTTACCATTGTTTTCAAAATGTACATAAAGTACAGTATTCAAATAATGGTAAACAGTTAACTTCATCAAGTTTCCTTAAAAACCTAAAGGACAAGTATTACCTTGTTTAATTATGGGCAAGAGTGTTTTCAGCCTTAACGTAGCCTAATCCAAAAGTTCTAAATTAATAGCACCTTACGACTTCCTAAGAGGGGTGTATGGGTGTGGTTGTGGGTTTGGGGGCTTTACTGGAGCCACTTTTTTTTTTTTTGCAGCAAAGAGAAAAATGTGGAAATTGCCCCCATAAAATATTATATGGGAAGAGATAATGATTTATTCTATCTCCCAATTCAGACTACTTGTTTCTAGTTAGTACATCTCGTGAGAGGACTCTGGGAAGTTGATAAAATCTTTCAATCTTAGTAGAATGGGTGCTAAACTTCAGGGCACTTGGGTCTTACAACAGGATTTTAAAATACAGTAGTAGCAAAGTGGTTACTAAGCAACAGAAACAGCTTAAGCTCATAATTAGCTGCTGGAAAGTCACACGGGAGCTGACTACACTAGTTGTCATTCATGTTTTTCTGCAGCTGCTTTCGTAGAACACTTCATTAACTATCACCCTGTTACGTTAATGTCTGAGTATATGGATCTAGTCATGTGGACTGCAAAACATGTTAAATACTAATTGTAAAGTGGCTTTTCTTTGTGTCTTAGATAGTGGGATTGTTGATTTAAGTCAGTGTCAGATGTCATAGTTGAATATAGGATTTCATTATACTTGGGAACAAACTTTTCTTTTATCTTTTTTCCTTTTAAGGTCTTGATGATGATGGTGACCCTAAAGGTAACTACACAGTCCTTTTGCTTCCAGAAATGTTCTATTTAATCTAGCTAGCACCGTAGATAGTTTCACAGTGAATGTCCTACTCTTGGTTTGCTAGGTAGTGATACTACACTGATGCAGGGAAATGGTGATGTAGCAACAGCGGAAATGCAGACTGCAGTGATCAATGGCTATACTTGCAACGATTGCAGCATGCTTTCTGAACGGAAGGAGGTTCTTACAGCATACTCTGCTTCTCACGTGCCATCTTCCAGAATTTACTCGAGGGATAGGAGTCAGAAGCATGCATCTAGTAAGTAATTTTCTCTTGTTTTAGACGCATGTCAGAATGGTGTACAGTTTAATTGATGTATTTTAAAATAGTGTTACTTAAACACTTTTCCCACTCTGCTAAATTTGTCAAAAGCTGAACTCTAAAGATCAGTTTATCATGAAATACCTTTTCTATATCAATGGGGACTTAGTGGTGGTGTCAGCTTCTGATACACAGTTATCTTTTTTCATTCTGTTGGTAGGAATTAAGCAATGGCAAAAGTGCCAGGATATCTTAATAGGTCATGTTTTCAAACTGATGTGGAGTGCTGTATGCTGTTCCAGCTGGTACTGATTGTAATAGTCTCTTAATCTGATATTTAAATGGTGTGTCTGTCTACCAGGTTCTTGGTGAGGGCTTTCAAACAGAAACTTTCTTTGTACAGTCTCATTATTTCCCATAAATGATTTGAACTTTAAGGATTGACCAGAATTGTTACTTTGCAGTGTTTCTGTTATCTAGGAAATCTCTGAAAGATACCTTCTTACTTCTGGCTTGTGTTGGAGGGGGCAGGTCACTTAACCTTCAGCATATTACAGTGTTTTTAGGAGCTAAACCTCCTCAAATTGAACCCCAAAGAGGGGAAAAAACCGATCCCAAACAGGCTTCCTAGAAACTACGCTTCCAAAACTTAAAAATAAATGAATATACCCTAAATAAGGTTCTGCCTTTCCAAGGCAATCTCCGCTCTCTGGATAATTGTCCTCAGTGTCTTGGCTGTATCTGCTTGCTGCTTGCTAGCATAACATCTTGGAATTTCCTGAGTATTGGTAGTCTTCAGAGATGACCAGGAAGGTGGTGTGGCATTGTTTTTTCTTTTTTTTTTTCCAGTGGTCTTGAATTAGAAAGGAATGCGTTTAGGGAGACTATAGGTGTATTATTTTTGAATGAAGTTGCAAGTCCAGTTCCAGTTGCAAGTCTGTTGGAACTATAAGGCATGACCTTTAAATGTTTTAAGGCAAGTATTTCTTTTTGACGAAAGCCTAATGCAGATAGGAATTCCGTTGTATCGGCATAATGATCTTTCAAGGGAGTTGCCATGTTAAAAGCCTTTTCTGTGCTCCAGACCTCCTATTTGCCTAGGAGAATCTTGTAAGTGAACGTGTCCTTGTACATGCTTTTGAACTTTAATCCAGCAGTTTGGTTTAAATCTAGGGGAGGGAAGGGACACAATCATGGCAAGTTTTGGAATGTGACTGATTCTAGGAAAGCATCAGTATGGAGAACTGTGACTTTTTCTGCTGAATATCCTCTAAAGGAGAAGATGTAATGGAAAAGCCTTTGTAGCACTGAAGGCAGGCTACTGTGGTAACTTCTTTCCTCTAGTTTAAATGGAAGAAAGTGGAAAAGGTCTCTCCATTCTTGTTTTGGGCTTAAAAGGTAGTTTATGCCTCTTATTTCTTTGGCGCTGTGATCCACAAAGTCAATACCAACAGCTCAAATCATTGAGAAACCCTGAGTTCTGTAAGCAAGGAATTCATTGCTATTTAGAGTTCTTAATCTTCACTAAGAAAGCATTCTTGCTGAAGCTGTATTTGTGTCTTGAAGGCATTTTCTTTAGGTTGTAGTTCTTGCGGAAGCTTTTGCTGTAATATCTAATGCAACCAGACTTTTCAAACCATGCTTACTTAAGCCTCATACTCCTGTCGAAACAAAAGCTTTGGATTCTTCAGCCTTGCTTTTCCAGTAGCTAATGGTCACAGAGAATTGAAGTACAATTTTATGTGGGTGAATAATTTGTATTCACACCTTTTTTCTTTAATAGGAGGTGCCTCTTTCTACATGAATAAGATTCTGCGATTGGTCAAACATGCTGCAGCATCTTTTGCATCACTCTTAGTGCATCTAGTTCAAATGGTTCTGCTGAAGCTGGGTTATGAGTTTAAAGGTACCTTTTCAGTTGTCTTCCTTGGATTTGTCTTTGTGTAGCATCTGGAGTGGAGACCAAAGTGCTTCACCCCCACCCCCTTTTCTTACTGACTTTGCCTGTTGCAATATGACGTTCCTTTTCTATAGTCATTTCACTGGCTACCGTCTTCCCCCTTTTTTAACTCTCTCAATTGTGCTAGCATTTCCACACTCTTCCTCTGTTCTGGAAATATCCAGATCCAGGTAGGTGATTATATATAGAGAGAGCATAGATTTCTGTGTGGATTTTCTCTAGGAAATAAGAGAAGGTCATGTTTAAGTTGAGAAACTTAAGTCGGTTTATAAAAACTGGTTTGTGTGACACTGTCAAATCCGAACTTTTTAGCGTCCTCAGGGTGGGCTGCCTCATTACCATTAAACCCATTGTGCCTGTAAAGCTTGATTTTAGACTTGCTTGCAAAAGTAAAGCTGCAAGCATTGCTATTCTTACGCACATTTTGTTTTCAAGAAAAAGTTTGATTCATCTTTGGTGCTTGCTCTTTTATAACACAGATTCGATCAGTGCAGTTACCTTCTGCCTACAGCAGTTTAACTAGTGTGTGTGTATAAGAAAATTTCTTCTAGATTTCTTCCCCTCCTGTTTGCCTTGATACCTTATAACTTCCTAATGCTTTCTTTTGAGTCCAAGAACCAACATAAAGAGGTTCTTGGCTCTACAATGAGAATAGGGGCTTAGGGTTTGATGAATTTTTACTTAGGTTTTGTTTTTATTTGACTAACTTCTTAATTTAAAGCACTTAAGAAACAGATTTTAAAATGAATGTTTTCTCGGCTCGTCCTCATGTAACGAGCGTTTCGTTTTATTTCTGTTCTGAGTTCAAGATTAATCCTCCATAGCAAATCTTAGAAGAGAGGATCCCGTACTTGCATGGGATAATTTAATTTCTGTCTCTTAAGTTTCAGCTAAGATCTTATCTCCTCAAAATTTAAAGACTGTATGGAGTAATGTGAAATTGAGGATTATGATAAAACAGTTAAATGATGGCCTGACTATTTTTAGGCAGGTAAGAGCAAAGTATCGCATGCATGTCTCTAGGATTTCTGCAAAACAAGGAAAGCTGGACTTGAGGTGGTGGTTATCTGAAAAGAAGCAGAAAGATTTTGAACTAAAAGGTTCTGTCTTCTGTCCAATCACACTTTTTCTTTAAAGAAGAGGCTTCTTTCACAACCATTTTCCAGGCCTCTTGCAGGTCACTTGGCCTTACGAGCTAAGCCAGTTTAGTTAAAATCTGGGTACACGAAAGGCTTTGAACTTGAAAGAAACATATTCCATGTGTTCTTTTTGAATGTGTTGCAGCTCACTCAGATTACTGTGGAAGCATGAACGTAAAGGAGATTTTCAGAGACAATAGCCGTCTTGGTGTACATGAGGAATCAATATGTAAGTATAGCAATTGGTGTTGTCTTTTAGCCCTGGGCTAAACTCTTGGATGCTGCAGTATTACCGGAGTAATGTCAAATGCTCCATGACTCTATGGAAGCTATAAAGTACATGCTTGTTTTATAACTTAGATGTAGGGGGAGAAGAAATGCAATTAGCTGGTATATTATAGTATTGTCCCAAACAAGTTTTATTCCATTGACGTTTGCTAATGGTTCGTCGTTTAATAAGTGATATTGTGAAATAGACCTGTTCAAACTATCTTGTAACAAACTTTGATGCTGGTTTTGTCACATTAATCGACTGTTACCACAACCAACAGGTGATGACTGTAAGGGGAAGAAACATCTTGAAACATACACCACAGACCACATGCAATCCTCATGGGCTAAAAGGGTAGCAAGGACCATTTGGCACACCTTTTCTTATGCAGGTTGACTTGGACCTTTTTTCTTTTGCTTTTACTTTACTTCAGAATTTCACAAATGTTAATCATTTGTATTGTTTTGTGTATTTTTTTCTTAACTACATCTATCAAAGTAGATTAAACTGAAGTGTAAAGTGTCTAGAAAATTAATTTTACATAGCGTCTTTCCTGTTTGACTCTTGCTCTGATACTGGCTTTTATACGAGCTTAGTAGGTAGAGAGACTGCTTACCTATAAGTAAAGAAGTGTGGTAATAGCAAACACCTGTGTTAGAAAGAATGTGTCAAATTGTAGAATATGAATCAGATTTGTTAATTTATTGCACTTCAGGAAAGTCTGTGCCCTTCCTAGGGTGAAAAACTAACCTTAAATGAAAGCAAGGTATGAAAGTACTGGTATACAGATTATTTGAATAAAGGGTTTTTAACATTTTATTTTTGTTTTAGAGATAGTCAATTTTTACAGGAATCTTATGTAGTGATAGACTCTTCCCTGTGAGATGAGCCTTCCCTAGCTTGAATGGCAGAGGCATCGAGAATCTGTCGAATGCTCTTTATTCAGCAAAGGAAAATGATTTGAGACACTTCAGTCACCTAAATGCTTTGCAAAATATTGGGTTGGTATATCTATAATCCCTCAGATTAACCGAGATATCTCTGCTAATTTAAAAATGTAGGATTGCTTCCTAAGTGTATGTTTAGTTTGTTCTGCAGAACAAACTGTCTGGTCTCGAATTCAGTGACTGTTGGCTTCGGTGGGTTTTAAGTTACAGCTTTTTTTTTTTTTTTTTTTAAGAGGCTCAAAACTGACATACTGAAGATCCTTGGAACATTCATTTTAATGAAAACTTGCTTTGCTGCTTGTAACCATTTTCTATAGGTGGTAGTAGTGTTTTATGTTGTTTATCAGTGTTTCTTAGACATTATTATTGACTTAATTATTTGACTAGGATTTGAAATTTTAATTGCCCCTTCCCTTTTATATACATGTGAACCCAGATACCAAAACCTGGCGTATAATTCAAAGCGAATAAGATAGTTTTAAAACTAATGATACACTTCAAACATGCTTTTATTGCATCACTTTTCTAATGTTATCTTTTATAATTAGTATGGGTATCTACCAATGTCAGTCTATAAAGCGTAAGTCTTCTCTATTTTGGAAAAGTGACATTCTAACTGCACAGATGCTACTCTGTTTGTTATATATGAAGATGCTTTTTCGAAACTGTCTTGGTTTTACTTGAACTCATATTTTATTTTGTTTTTAAGTATTGAAGAACCAAGTTTATAGTTTACTGAAAGGTATGGTTTAAAATTGTGCAGAACATGTAATGATCAGGGGCTTGAATCTCTGTTTTACTACATGTACTGCAAAAAAAACTTCAGCTCATTTATATATGTTACCACATAGAGTTAATTTGTTATAATCTAGGTTACTTTATGGTTCACATGTTGCGAACAGTGGGAGCAACTGGATGGCTTGTGTCTCAGAAGGTGTTGTCTCTACTTTGGCTGCCCATTGTTTCTTCAGGTTACTATCCTGATCTGTGTGTGTGCATGTTGCCTGTTTCTTTTGACAAACTAGGAGTTTGCAATAGGTGGCTTACACTAATTCAACTATGCTTTTACTGTTGCTTTTATTCCTTGAAATGCACATGCTAACTTACTTCCTTTACTGACCAAAACATGCGTAATGTGAGGATATACTTCTGTTCACAGGCATAATGGGAGACATGAGCGAATGAATGTATGAATAACCCAGGATATGGGTCCCCAAGACTAGTGGGGTATATTGGTTTGGTAGTTGCTTCCTATCATGGTATTCCTCTTGGCAAAAACTGGTACCGCTAATCTGTGTGTTTACCGAAACATATCGAGGTCCTCAGCAGAGGACTTGGGCTCAAACATTATGACAGAATTCTATATGAGATAACATTGTTAAAACAAATGAGCATTTCATCTTCTTGCATGGCTATTGTCTGTGTCAAGTAGCTGAAGTTATAATGCTGTCATATTTGTGATACAAATCTAGATGTTAATAAGCTGCATGCATTACCTGTACTCGTCCATTTCTCTGCTGTGCAGAGCAGTCTTGGCCATGGTTGCATGTTGCCCTGCTTGGTTTCCTTTGACGTGGACTGCAGTAATTATATTTTGTTACCCCTTTTCTTTTCTAGGGAGGGCAGCTTCTGGCATGTTCTGGTGGCTTAGAACTGGATGGTATCAACTTGTTGCTCTAATGTCTTTGCTCAGTGCGCTGCTTCTTAGGTGTGTATCCTTTACCCAAAAAAGCGTTTTCTCTAGGCAAATTCTTTACTCGGTTATAAAAGAATAAAATATGACAAATGTCTCTTGTTTCACGTAAACTTTCCCTCTTTATCTAGATGCCTTCCAAAGATTTTCAAGCTATTACTGTTTCTCATCCCGCTGCTGTTTTTACTAGGTATGTGAATTGTTTAATTGATAATACAAGTTGATGTATGCTTACTACAGTTGTACTAAAAGGGCATTTTTAGTTGAACTTCAGGTTATAGAGAAGACTAAGCACGAAAGACCAAATTTCAGTTTGTCACCAGAGCAGTTATTCAAGTTTAAGTACTGTCCTGCCAATGGACTTTACTCTTATCATGAAAAAATACCCTTAATTGAATTTTATAGAGCTCTTTGGACCAGTGCATTTACTCAGTCACTCTCCAAGTCTTTCATTACCCTTGCCTCCCCACATCCCTTCATTGAAACTGTAATGAGCTCATGAAGAGTGGGATATGTACTGATTGCTCTGATTATTGTCAGTCCCCATAAAAATGTGGTGGTTAAGTTCCTTTAACAGCTCATTCTAAGTCATTCCTTTGCTCTAAACAGTGCTTCTCATTTTTTTTGAAACATTGCTAAGCTTAGACTGGTTAGCTGGCAATATTCGAGGCCAGTCATCTACTTTGAAAGAAATGTCTTAAATAGAGTTTACTGAAGAATTTGGACCATTTCTGAAGAGCAATTTCATATCTTCCCATGTCATAAAAATATTACAGCTTCTTTCGGGGAAAAGCTGAAGCTTCTCAGCAACTTGCAGTAGGAATTCAAAATTCTTTGTACTGAGGAGAATAAGATGAGGAGAAGAAATAAGTGGAATCTTTGCAAAAGTGCGAAGTTTCTATGGCAGCATAAGCTTCTTCCAACTTCTACTAGATAAGATGCAACATACTATGCAGTAAATAGGATGCAAGGCAAGATGCTTTCCATTCAGATCGAAAGCAGTATTTAATGTATCTTTGTTCAGTGAGCATGGCCTGTCTTACTGAATAAATGAAATCTAGGTCCCAGGGAAGCAGTAGTATGTGATTAAGGATGTATCGTGATATATAGTCAGAAGTTGTCTGACTTACAGCTGTGTAAGTGTCACTGGTTGCTTGACTTGAATCTTGAGTGCTTGACTTAACGTTTTAAAGCCTTCTAAAGTAGCTCATATTGCTAACTTTAATTTAGGGTGGAGTAGCGTGTGCTGTGTGCTATGCAAAGACAAGGTAGCTTGTCTCCTTAAGTAAAAGCTTCAATTTGTAGATACAAGCAGTCTTCAGAGATTTTTCCCCTAAGTATCTCTTCTGCTTTTCTTTCTGCTCATGAAAGGTATGTGGTCCTGGGGATTTGATGGCTTCGTTTCACTACTACCCTCATTGAACTGGACAAGAATTCACAGAGTACAGAGAATAGATGATGCTATTCATATTCTCAAACCACAGCCTGATTCTTCTCATTCTGTGCAGCCTCCAAAGGTAAGGGAGAACAGTAGGGAAGAACCTACGTTTTTAACTCCTGTGTCTTAAAATTTTTGCAGTAACTGCTATTACCAAGAGTAATGCAAAAAAGTGTCTTCATTTTAAACATTTAAAAAAAAAAATCTTTACACCTTAGGGTACCATAAATATCTTTGATTCTGGTCGTGTAACTGAGCTGGAAAAGCAAATGGCCTTCGTGTCTGACAGATGCCATCACCGTGATGAAGAATATAGGAAAGTGATGCTTCTACTCCAGAATCTTCAAGATCAAGTTGCCCAGATGAGTGACAGAAGTGAAATATTGACACTAATAAAAAATGTGATGAGTCAGCATCTCACAGATATGAAAGAGGAGGAAAAGGTAAAGATTAATTAGTTATTGATGCTTTCTGATACTGATCAGAGTGCTCTCTTATTAATGCAGATTATTAGTGATCTGGCTTCTAGATTTTATTTATTTATTTTTCTGGTATAGAATTAACTGATAGAGAGTAAATGCCAGGGAGTGGAATCCCAGGTTTTGTTCCTCCTCTTTTACTGTTGACAAAGTTCTAATTCTGGATAGGTGGTCTAAAGTAGAATCACATCCCTGAAAAGCAGCTGGATTTATCCTCTTTATTACAGAGAAAGAACATTATAGCAAGGACTAATAAGGTAGAAGGGTTTTTGTTGTAAACCTTCCCGTGTATAACCCTCACTACTGCTGAATCACACTTGGTTTTTTTATTACAGATGCTATAATTTCTCACACAATCTGCAGGATAAGTCATTTAAGCACTTTTGAAAGTTACGATCACAGAATGAAACAAACACTATGCTTTGTAGGAGATCTCAGTTATACTATTTGTACTCAAAGTACACCACCTTTTTCTTCCTTTTTTTTAAGACTAACTTCCTGGCTTTACATCAAGAACATGAGATGCGCATCATGACACTGGGAGACCTTCTTGGAAAACTTTCTGCTAAATCTGAGGTATAGAGAGTTAGCTTTGCTAACTAGTTAGTTGTAACCTGTTTCTGAGGGGCTTAAGTTTATGTTTGCTTCACTCTAATTATTGCAACTGTTCCAGTCTGTTTTTATCTGTATTCTTGCTCCCCTCTCTCTGTTCTTAAAGGGGTAGGGGTTTTGCTGTTGTCTCCCTTGGGCATGTTCTTCCCTCCCCCCCCCCCCCCACCCTAGTTGTCCACTAAGTTATTCACTGACCAGTGAGGCAGAACTGAGAAGCACAAATATAAGTAATTTAGTGACATAAACTTATATAGGTGGTGTGAAATACATTGTTTCAATGGGACACTTTATTGTCCTCCTACTGTTATATTATAGGCATTACCTTGTGTATGATAAAACCAACTCTTGTGTTTTTGTAGGACATCCAGAAGGAGCTTGACATAGCCAAAGCAAAAACAATGCGGTATGAATACTCTTCAAATATATTTTGCTCTTTCAATCCTGATGCTAACTGATGGTGGTGGAAGTTATTCTGTGAAATATAATAATCATCCTTTTCTTAATGTCAGTTGACTGCCCTTGAGAGTGTGTGTTGTCAGCACAAGTATTTCTGTCTTGTAATAGATTTTAACCATGATGCCGAACAAGGGACCGCTTGTGATGTGCTAGTGGTCCTGCAACTAATTTTTTACTAGAGAAATCTGTTTATAATACAAAGGAGACTGTAACTTCTAATGCATTTATTAGGGGATAAAAATTTTTCCTTTTGCTTAGTGAATTTTTCCTCTTGCTCAATTTGCTTAGTGAAGTACATAATGGCTATCTTTGATAGGCTTTATATTGAACTACTTGGACAAAGGTTACTCTTGATAAGAGATCATGTGTTTGGCTTGTCAGCTATACTACTGTCCACCCATGTAATGTGTAATACAAGGAAAAAATCCTGCAGCACTTAAGTAGTTTTTCCACTGAGAAGTGGGGGTAAAACTATTACTTGGAGATTTATTATTTAAGTTAATAATGGCTTTAGAATGATGGCTGATATTTTTTTCCATGGCATACACTGAACATTGATCTATATAGATCAAATGTGTCCTGCTACTTACAGACCCAACTTAGATGATAATGACTTCATAGGCAAGTGTTAAGAAAGGTAACATGAAACTCTCTAGTCTAAACATCAGACTTGGGCAAATAGAGCTTAACTGGTTTGGCAGAAACTTTAAATTCTAAACACCCAGAGATCTGTACATGTCTGAGTTACTAATTTGCCAGCCTGGTGATACTCTAAAGGTCATCACTTCTGGTTTTGTCCACAGCTTTAAAAATATTTTGGTTTGAATTTATTCATCCTAAATATGCTTTAAATAAATATTGTGAGCCTGCAGTTCCTTGAAGATGTTGTCTTGGTGAATAACTGAACTAGGAAAGCACTTCGTATTAGACAAATGTGTTCCTGCTCCTTTAGAATTTGATGAAATGATTCAAACTACTTTTTTCTAATTATTGACTCTTTGGTTTTTGTCAGAGATGGTGATGAACATAATCACCTTTTATCCAAAGTTAAAAAGCTGGAACTAGAGTTGTCTCAGATGAAATCGGAGCTGTTAAATTGGCAAAGTGTGAAGACAAGCTGTGACAAAATAGATGTCATTCATGAGAAAGTAAGTTCTGTAACTGTCCCAGTAAAACCTGGTACTACTTGATTTTGTTTGCTAACTTTCCTGTCAGGTACTACAATAAGTAACATGGGGTATAGTATTCATCTTAAATAGCAGTAGTGCTTTACGTGGGTGGGTTGTGGATTTTTTTTTTCCTCTAGTGAGTAATATCTTACTAGACAAGAACTCACTGCTTGTTGTCTAAATGGCAATTCTATTTGCTTTTAAAATATGATGCAGTAGCATTTCTGTACACTGTACTTTGACTGACATACCTTGCTAACTCATGCAAGTTTAAAAAAGTAATTCATGTAAATGCAACAGTGTTTTGATTTGTGAGAGTCGTTTAAAAATCATGCTTAAATTTTTTGAAGCCTTTTGTAACTTCTGTTTGGAACCTCTGACTAGAATGCAGCCAACAAAATAGAACAGTAAGTGTTGATGTGGGATTGTCAACTCTGGCTAAATATCTTATTAGAGAGTTATCACAAGATGGTCTGGCTACCTGTGTATGGAATCAAAGCATATCCATAAGTGAGTGTTAGTCATTTAGTTAACTATGCTGAACAAGTATACTGCTCCCCTTAGAGTTGCCACGGTGCCCTCTTTGAACTGTTGCAGTCAGCTTTAGTTTAATTTTTATTCTGAAGCATTAGTTGGACCCTAAATGTAAACTACATATTTTGCTCGGCATATTTTTGCTTTTGTTTGGTCTGGTGGACAAAACACATGAAAAAGCCTGGATGCTTCATAGATGTGTTCTTCTGTACCTCTGTTATTCCTATGTAAGTCAATGTAGTTAACACTTGTGAAAACTGGATTTATCTATAGTGCTGGAAACCCATACTGATTTCACGTGTCCGTGTTATACACATGTATTACTTAATGGTTTATAAAGACTAATCACTTACACTGGAATTGTTGATGGCTTCTGCTAGGTAGATGCCCAGGTCAAAGAATCCATCAAGCTAATGTTTTTCGGTGATCGCCAGGAAGACTTTCCTGAATCACTTCTCCAATGGCTTGCATCCAATTTTGTGAGCAAAAGTGATTTGCAGACTTTGCTGCAGGATCTAGAGTTGCAGATCCTCAAGAACATTACTCTCCATATGTCGTCTACAAACCAAAAACTAACGTCTGAAGTAGTAACAAATGCTGTGAATAACGTAGGGGTTTCTGGAATCACGGAAGCGGTAAGTTAGTTCAAGTGCTAAAAAATTCAGCTAAAATTGTAAAAAGACGTTTAGAGGCGTTTTATGGAGCATGACTGTCAATACAAATCTTAATGGTTTTAAGAGATTAACTGAAATAGGGGAAGAACCACAGAAAATGCTTTATCAAATGTATCCTTACAGCCTTGCTTTTTGTCCTTTGCGAACATGTTTTTTTCCTCCAAGTATGCTGTATTGAAAGCTGAAGACTTCCCAAAATACAAGCATACCAAAAAACACAGCTCCATGACTTGGGAAGGTGGGGAAAAGAATGCAACTCTCAAAGAAAACACCAATTGAGATGCAGTATGAGCTTGTTTTAAGCCAGACAACCATACATTAAAAACAGCCTGTGTCTTGACAGAGGCTTTAAAATATTGTGGTGGAGTACAGCATCTCAAAAGGATGCATGCAACTTCACACAGATTTGTGTGTATCAATTTTCTGTCAGTTGATATTACTAAAATCTTTCTTTCCATTCTGTTCCTCTTCTGTGGGTACATCTGTAGCAAGCACGCATTATTGTAAACAATGCGTTGAAGCTCTATTCTCAAGACAAGACTGGCATGGTGGATTTCGCCTTAGAATCTGGAGGTAAATAGTAGAGGAAGGGCTAAAAATAAGACATCGTATCTACTAAAAATCTAAAACTAAGACTAAAAGTTAATGTAAAACTATGTGTTGTCTAATGGTCAGACTACTGTAATCGGTGCCTATTGTTAATAGTGATATATCAGCCATGTAATTTATGATAAGTAGTAGGGGCCAGAAATGTACATAAAGACAGATGAGTCCAGGTTCCCTAGGGTATGTATGGAGTGGGACAAACAACTCTATGCGTATAACTGGCTAATTGAGACCCACAGATTGCGTGGGATGTGCACATCACTAAACTCGCTATGGAAAGCATTGATTTCCTCAGCCCTCTTAAATAAATAAAATCCTAGAACACGTTCTTAAGATACCATAGTATTGGATACTTGTACCTTAATGTAAAGTTTTATTGTGATAGAAACATCTGATCTTTGTTTTAATGCACTTAAAGATTTTGCTACGTTCTAGTAGTTTAACAACCTTAATGAATATACCAGTTATCTTCCTCAAAAAGGTATTACAGATCTCTGCCTTTTAAAAAAGAGTCTTTGGGAAGAAACAAGTAACTACTGCTAACTCAGCTTATCTTTTTTGAGGTGGCAGTATTCTGAGTACTCGCTGTTCTGAAACCTATGAGACTAAAACAGCATTAATTAGCCTCTTTGGAATTCCTCTGTGGTACTTCTCTCAGTCTCCCAGAGTGGTGATTCAGGTAATGAAAGGCCAAGTGAACAAACTCGGCAATGCTACATGTTGAGTGGTTTGGGTTGTTTTCTGGATGCTGGATGTTTGTCTGTGATGCTGGGGAGGGAATGTACTTTGAACTTTGTTCCTGAGAGTGGGGTTCTCCCAGTATA